AGTTCAAGTTCAAGTTTCGCATTTCCTCGCTAAATATTCTTACGGCTTTCGACAAAACTTCTCAGCTAAAGTCTCCTTTTTTTTCTCTTTCCAAAGCTAAAAGTGCATTATAGGTATCATATTTAAATATTATCAGATAAGGTATACAAAAACTACAAAAATACGATCAAAGATTACTCGCTTGGTCTGTCTTTTAGTAGGCGCTCCAACAAGGTGACTCGGGTGGCATAGTTCTTCTTCTTCATTTTTCTCTTCTTCTTGTTCGGGTGGCACTTCTTCACTGTTTTTTGTCGAATCATTTGCTATCTTTCCAAATGAACGCATGAACGCATGTCATTTACAACATACTAAGGCTATAGGTTGCAATAATTAATGACCTTTATATGATTACAAGTATACTACCTAAAGCTCCATTATAGCTCCAAACTCAACAATTGCCGTTGATCGATGTCAAATCGATGTCCATGCCAAGACAGGAAAAATCCTTGCATGCTTTCTGTGTGTGTTGTGTTGAGGAAATTTCAGAGAGAAATGGGATGGTCAGAAAAGAGTGAGAGATATCCAAGGAAAGGAGTGCAATGGATGGACTACCCATCCAAGGCCACCTCTCCCCTCCTTTCTTCCCATCCCATCCCTTTCATGTTAGCCAGCTTCTCTTTTTTCTTCTTTTCTCTCTCCAATCATCTTTTCATCTTTTACTAATCATTGCAGATTCCATAAGGGTTTGATCTGCTAGACTTTGGATTTACTTCATTTTGCTCCAGATCTACCAATTGTTTCCAGATTTCTTAATTCTCTTTGGTAGAATTTATAAACCTTACCTACTCCAATTGAAGACCACTCTCGAAATCAGAATCAGAAGCGCACCCTTTCTGGCACACTCAATTCAGAATTTCTCTTGCAACGAATCAAAATCAAGTGTGCCAGTCGGGATTTATTTGCAACTTGTTGGCAAATGTATCAGCACAAAGTACACCTTTTCTTCTTTTCAAATAAAGAATGAGAGCTATGGGTGGAAACGGATCGTTTAGCACAATCAAAAAGGAGAGAAAAGATAACTTTTGCATGAGTAATCGATCTTTTCAAAGTAAAATGAAAAGAAAAGATAGACTTTTCGGGAAATTTCCTCCTAAAACAAGTCCGTTCTTGAGAAAATCCTCAACTTTTTGAGACAAATATTTTTGAGGGAAATCTTCTCCATTTTTTTGTCTCAAATCTCAAATCAAATTTTAGCCTGATCCATCAAAACAAATCGGTTCTCTAAAAATATTTTTAGACTCGTGAAATCTTTTTTTGTTTGCTGCATTTAAAGTTTTCTTGGGTGTTTAGAAGGAGATTGGCCTTGTGATCGAAATAACGACTTTTGGTAAGAAAAAGAAGGGGAAAAAGATGGTGATCACTTGAAAGATTTGAATATCGTAAACCCTTTCTGGATTTGAATATCGTATTTCTTCGAATAGAAGGCCGGGCTTCTATTTTTTCGATCCTATTTCTCTTTTATTCGAGTTTTTTCGAGTCTTCCATTTTTTACATTCAAGAAAATCTTCAGGAGAATATCCAACATTTAGAAAAACAGCTTTCTTTATAAAAATCTATTGTAACATGTTAACGACAAAATTTAACAACAATCTGCAAGAAAATAGCATCGAAAAAGGAACAAAACACGTAAATTTTAGGTTACATAACTATCCTTCATTACTACAAGGTGGCCGACAATTAAAGCGCCGCACTTCGGAGGGCCTATATTGGCTAAAATTGGGTCAATCGTTCTGATTTTTCTGGAGACAAATCTTAAGTATATCTTCTGGAACGGAGCCCATTACCTAATCGATTCAAGCTTTCAACTTTTTTATATGACCTTCCAAAGTTGAGAGTCGAGTGTCGTTCGGCACGCTACTCATGGGATTTTTTGAGAGCGATCTTGTCAAAATCTCGTTGAGATTGAATTTATTATGTTAATGGATGAAATTTCACATGCTCTAAGCAGTTTAAGTGCAAAAATTCTTGAAAAATGTCACCAAAATAATAATTTTCATTTGAACGATTTATTGGACCTTTAGAGAAGCCACTAAAAACAAGAACATCTTATTTTTTCAAGGTCTATCGCTTTTAAATTTCATAAGTAAATATGATTCATTGAAAATCATCAAAAGCTTAAAGACTTTTTATTAAAAAATGAGACTTTCAAAATCCCATGAGTAGCGTGCCAAGCGACACTCGACTCTCAGCTTTGGAAGGCCATATAAAAAAGTTGAAAGCTTGAATTGATTAGATAATGGGCACCGTTCCAGAAGACATACTTAAGATTTACCTCCAGAAAAATCAGAACGATTGACCCAATTTTAGCCAATCTAGGCTCTGAAGTACTCATCAACATTCAAAATCGAAGCTGTTCGTTTTTCAAAGGAGGAGCTGTTGAAAATGATCGTTGCAAGCTGGATATTGCGTGATTGGAGGGAAAACTAACAAAACTCTATGAAGTTGACTCGAATGAGGAGAAAAACAATGGTTATGGGGGCGAAAACTGTTGAAAATGATCGTTGCAAGCTTTGGAGGGAAAGTGCGGCGCTATAATTGTGGGCCACCCTGTACTTGATTCGTAGTCGTTCTCAAGCAAAGCCGAATCATCTAGAACACCTTTAAATGCCTCCAAGCTCGAAATCAAATAGTTTTCGCCCCCATAACCATTGTTTTTCTCCTCATTAGAGTCAATTTCATAGAGTTTTGCTAGTTTTCCCTCCAATCAAGCAAAATCCAGCTTGCAACGATCATTTTCAACAGCTTCTTCTTTGAAAAACGAAAAGCTTCGAGTTTGAATGCTGATGAGTCGGCCTTTCGTTTGTCTTTGCTCCTAGAATTGTTGAATTAACACAGTAAAATCTGAAAAAGAGCAGAAGAAAAAAACAAAAAACTGAATGAAAAAACACTTTTGGGCTTAAAATATGAAAAATCACAGCAGGAAAAACACAAAACTGAATGAAATTACACTTTTAGACTTAAAATATGAGAAAGATCAGAAGAAGAAACACAAAACTAAGTAAAAACACACTTTTGGGCTTAAAATATGAAAAACATCAGTCAAAAAAAATGAAACTGAATAAAATGAGACTTTTGGGCTTACTTTTCTGATCTTGGCTACGGTAATTTTAGTGCAAAATAGAAAATAAGTGATATCTTGAATAAAACACCGGTCTGATATTTGTGGCGGTCTTTTATTCGAGATTGGTCTTTTATTCAAGATTGGTCTTCTATTCGAAGAAATACGATATGACAAAGAGATCTGTGTTTTGGTATTGAAAACATCTTTTGCTTGATCTTTGGAAAGCCGAATCCCGATCACAAATCACACAGAATTGTCGTCTACCTTCTAGCTCTTTTTTTCATTTCCATCATCTTGGGTGTCACCGGAAATACTCGATTTTCGACTCTCTTTCCATTTTCGTTAAAATTTTTTTGGAAAAATGGAGAAATGATAAATTGATTTGAAAGTTTTCAAAGATTTTTGTCGTGCTCATTTTCTTTTTCTTTCTTTTTTTTCTTTCTCAGCTCTGTTTCTAGGTTAATCTCAAGAGAAAAACGAACAATAAACTTTTTTTCTTTCGGCGCATTTTTCTCATTTTTTTCTTTTTTTTTCTGGGGATATCTGGGGTGATTTTTCCGAACGAACAAAGGAATTATTGTTGGCTTCTTGAGTCTGCTTTGATTGGTGGTAAACCGGTAATTGTACACCAATTTTAAGCATGAATTTGAACTGAAAACAGTACCTAAAGATCTTTAATTACCAACGATCTTTATTTTTGAACTTCTTTCAAAAAGATCTTCTTTCTCACAGCTCACAGATCTTCTTCTTTCTTTCTTCTTTCTACTTCCTCCTTCCTTTCTTCTTTCTTCTTCTTCCTTCTTCTTCCTTCTTCTTTCTTCTTCTTCTTTCTTCTTCTTTCTTCTTTCTTTCTTCTTCCTTCTTCCTTCTCTCAAAATCTATCCTTTCTCCTTTAAAGTCTACTGTTCATTGGCCTTTTTGCAGTCTACTGTTCACTTTCTAAGCTCTTTAAAAAAGAGGAAATGGGAAAGGGTTTAATACAAAGAATTTTGTTCAACATTTTGTTCAACATTTTGTTCAACATCTTGTTCAACATTTCGTTCAACATTTCGTTCAATTCTTAATTCTTACTTGTTTTAATCTATTCCTACAAAAAAGGTATTACGAAAAAGGTACTATAAGAATCTATAAGAGGCAAAGTTAGTGTTTCTGTGTCCGTAACCACATAACTCGAGTTCTAGTGGGAATTTTGGTTTGATTTTTTTGGACAATATATCACCGACTATCACCGGTTTTGCCTATTAAATCAGAATTGAAAAATCTTTAACCGATTTTGAGTAACTAAATTTGGCGGTGAGATCAAAGGGTTTAGCGGTGAGATCAAAGGAGTGTTAAGTATACGGGGAAATGCTGAATTTCAGATTCAATGTAACCGTTTTTATCCAACTATTGGAACAATTGTGCACAAATCTTTAGTTTATAAAGTAATGTCAGCATTTCGTCTAAAAATTGCAAGATTGCTGGTGTTCGTGAGAAATGCATTCTCGTAATACCTTTTTCGTCAGAAAATCTTTCTCTCCCCAAAAGCTTCCCCTCCACAATGATCCCAGAAATTTTATCCGCACTAAATATCCCTTTATTTTCTCATTTTTCTTCCTTGACTATTTGCTGAAAAGCGAAATTTGTCGGCTTTTCATTTTTTTTTCACAAATTTCCCACAATCTCTATCTGTTGATCGACAAATTGTTTCCTTTTTTGCAATTGATGACTTGTCTAGCTGAATAGCTGGATAGCTGAATAGCTGAATAGCTGGATAGCTGGATAGCTGAATAGCTGGATAGCTGGATAGCTGAATAGCTATCTTTCTAGCTTTCTAGCTGAATAGCTGAATATCTTTCTAGCTTTCTAGCTTTCTAGCTTTCTAGCTATCTTTTTACTTTTCAAATTCCAGCGTGTGAAAATGGCGGTGATTTTACCTGAAGCCGGCATTGAGAAAGCGGATCGAGTATGGAATGACACAGGTATGGAGAATGAAAGAATATCAAAATCTTGTGTGTCAGAAAGCGTGCGTTTATCAGAGCACGTAGAGCATGGAAAGGCAGCTGGGTACTACAGGGTGTTCAAGAATTACGGCCACTTTTTCTCTCGTGCGTAGCTCCGCCTAGAGTTAACCATTCCCCATAAAACTTTTTTTGGTCAAATTTACTGCTTATTTTCAACACTTTACTTCAATACTTTACTCAGAAACTCAAAATTCGATAGCAATTCTATATCAATTCTATAGAATTCTATAGCAATTCTACAGAACTTCAAATCTCCAAAACTCGAGAGCCTCTGGGACGCGGCTTAACCGAAATTGAGCCGTCAAAGGAAAATCGCTGATCATTCAACTACCCGAATCAGCGATGTTCGGATCTCTACGTAAGCATAAAAAGAACAAAAAGATGACTACGCGACACTACTAAACGCCTATACGACAGTACTAAGAACTGGGTATTGGAGTGTTGCGTCGTCGTCGTTTGGTTCTTTTTATGTTTGTGTAGAGATCCGGATATCCCTGATCCACGAGTAACGTTAAATTCGATTTTCTAAAAATCTGATCCATACAAATTTTTACATGCTATCCAACTAAGAAAAATCCAAACTTTGATTAAAATCTGTCCACTCAAAAAAAAAGTTAATTGGGCTTCTAGTTTCTAGGTTATTTCTTTCAAAAACCGCAGCTTTTCAACTTGTTTTCTAGTAAAAATGAGCTGGATTTTCGAAATAATAAGTAAAAAGGAGTAAGTGAAGCTGGTTTTCTTTGATTTTCAGGCATTGAAACTAGTTACGAAAGGCGAGAACGAGAAAATCAAGAAAAATTCCGCCGCAGGAAACGCGTGTCGCAACTTTGCAGTGCTCTAGCAAAAGTTTAGAAACTTTTCTGATCAAATCCAGAAAACAAATTGCAGGAGGGATATTCAATTTGATAATAAAAAAAGAATTAGGTCGATTGATTGATTCTTGGCTAAGCTGGAGAATCTGAACTGAGTGCGGGTAATTGTGCGTCACCCTTTTTCTAATTCTTCCTAGTTTGTTGTCGTCTCTAAATAGCTACCATCTAAAAAACAATCAACAAAAAGCTTTAAGCCCAAGTAAATTCAGTTTTTTTCAAGTTTTTATCTGTTTTTTTGTCAAATAGATGTAACAAATAGGGCTAGAAACGTGCTCACCCTATTAACTTTTTTTTGAGTAGACAGATTTTAATCTAACTTTAGATTTTTCTTAGTTGGATAGCATGTAAAAAGTACCGGTAGTTGTGTGCGTACTTGACTCAAATATCCCAATCGCAGATCCACCATCCTCCTCCTCATCATCAAATGGCTCCTCATCACCTAAATCCTCATCACCAATCCCAACAAAGAAACGCGTCAAAATCCAACAGGAAAACAATTCGGAAACGTTCTTTATCAGGTAAAATGCAATGAAATTGATTTTTCCACCTTTTCAGATGGATTTGTGCCTTCTTCCGTGTCTGGGCTCATTTCATTGCCCGTCATGCTGTCAAAGTGATCATTGCTTGCAGTATTCTTTCACTCATCGGCGCCATCAAATTGGCCACAACACCGTCAGTTTTTTGAGATTGATAGTGAACAGTGAACAGTATAGAATAGAAGAGTATAGAACCGTACAGTATAGAACAGTACAGTATAGAACAGTAGAGTATAGAATTAACGTCACCTAGTTTATTCAGAAATGAGAACGAGATCGCTGGATGGACCCCATATGGAGCGAGATCGTTGAGCGAATTGGAAGTAAGAATCTCTGAATGTATCTCTGAATGAATCTCAGCCCAAAATCTCCTAGGTTTCTCGGGAGTTCTTTGGCAATAAAGAGCAAATAATCAGTGTTATGTTAATCCTTTTGGCAAAAGATGGAGGATCAATGCTGACAACGGAAAGAATGAACGAGATTAAAAGGGTGAGTTTCGGAAGAAACAAAAAGCCGTTAAATTTTATGCCGTTAACTTTATGCTGTTAACTTTATGCCGTTAACTTTATGCCGTTAAATTTTTAGATTGAAGACTTTGTGGCTAAAAATTTCACAATGTTCAACAAAGAGACGGGGAAATGGGAGAATTTCCGAAAATTCTGCTACTCATTCTGTCAACTCAACGATCCACTCATTCATTTTGCGGTTGGGTTTTAAAGATTTTAGCAAAGATTGATGATGTTGATGTTGATGATTAAATTATGATTAATAATTATAGGCAAAGATTTGTTTAAAAAGTAAAGCAAAGATTTTCTGATAAGCCGATAAGCCTTAAAGCTTTTAAACCTTTTAAATCCTAAAGCCTTTTAAAGCCGAAAGCTTAAAGCCTAAAGTCTTTTAAAGCCTAAAGCCTAAAGCCTAAAACCTAAAGTCTTTTAAAGAATGGTTTCATCATGCAAGAGGATCTTCGATTGAGAGGAGAACCGTTGAATGATCGGATTGAGTTGTCCTATCCGGTTACATCAATGTACGGAAGAACCTTCAATGTTCAGGTATTCAGGATTAGGTCTAAGTCTAACAAACGCTCAGATCTTGACACCAATACGTTTGTTTCTGCGCGCTTGAGTATTAAATTAAAGTAGAGAGGATGGGTGATTTTTTGAGATATGACCCCCTATATAGGAGCGTCGTGTAGTCTAAGTTTACACTCAAACGAATGCTCAGATCTCGACACCAGTACGTTTGTTTCTGCGCGCTTAGGTATCAAATTAAAGTAGAGAGAATGGGTGATTTTTTGAGATATAACAAATATTCTTAGCATTAACCAGCGCTTAGAAAAAAATGATTGAAAAATGATGAAAAATCGTCTTTTTTGCCACTTTTTTTTCCAGACGTTTCCGCGCCAAACGTCGGAAACTACCGTAACCCGACGCCATAAAAGGACCCCTCGACGAAGAATTTTTCAGTCTTTCCGCTGTGTTGTTGTAGTTGTCTTGCCATGTGCGAATATTTGTTATATCTCAAAAAATCACCCATCTCTCTACTTTAATTTGATGCTCAACGCGCAGAAACAAACGTACTAGTATCAAGATATGAGCATTTATTTGAAAATAAAGTTAGACTACGCGACGCTCCTATAGTGGACCGTTCTATTAGAGTTTTTACTTTATTAGTTCATTTTCTCTATGCTTTTTTTTGTTTTACTCTTTCTTTTCAATTGAATAACCTCCATTTTAGATTAAATTTTGGTCTAAAAAACAGCTGCGATTTAAAATGTTCTTCTTCTAAATATCTTCTAGATCTTATAAATAAGTTTTAGTCATTACCTAGTCATTACCTAGTCATTATACTGAAATGTAAATCCCGCGAATTTTCTCGGATCTAAATCTAAATCCGAAAAAATATTTAGCAAGAATGTTAGAAAATATGCGAATACTTCGCATTACTGAGAAAAAACACAAATGAATGAAAAATTTTAATTTTCGAAACAAATTTACATAACTACGGTAGTCTTTTTGAAGCGCACGCTTTAGAAAATGCATTAATCACGCATTAATCATAAGAAAGCGCATTAATCACGCATTAATCAGTAGAGTGTGTTCCTCTCGAGTAATGCGTTTTCTAAAAGGCATCTATTTTAGAAAACTACCGTAATAAAACTGTTAGTTTACATCTAATCAGTTCAAATTTCGTATCATTAACTGAGCCTTGTAATTCCTCATCGAATAATGTCAAAATCGGGCTGGTCGGATGTAAACTAACGACTATGGTAGTTTTCTAAAATAGATGCCTTTTAGAAAACACATTAATCACGAGGAACTCTGTTCAGAACTTTATTTTAGAGATTAAAAACATGAAAACCTTTCAGCCGTCATTCTTCGGCCTCGACTTCTTCAACAACAACACTTCTCCAATTGCCAATACAACTGAACTAGCTAGGCCAAGAATCGTCAATTTGAAGTGAGCTTTGAAAATATAATAGCAAGATCTCAAGCTATTAAACAAGACTTTTATGTTAATTTAGATCACTGAAAATGGCTGCTTTGCATTTCCGAGGAGAACGAGCTCATGGATGGACGCTAAACGATGTGAAGACCTATGAGCTGGCTGTCACTCATTATTTCAAAAAGTTTGTTTTTTACTATATTTTATTATATTTTATTTACTAAACCCTCTATATTTTATTACTTTATTACTTACTATTTGATCATTTTATTGATACTTTTATTACTTGAGTACTCTATTTTACTTGAGCACTCGATTTTACTTGTTCAGTGAATTCCACTCGGATGAAGTGACCGTGTTGACCCTTTCAACGAGTTATGTCGAAGCTGAGGTCGTTCGAGCTGGATATAAAGTGAAATCATTATCTCTTTCACTGATCAACTTCGAAAATTTTAGATGTTACCCATCTTCATCATCGGTTTCGGCATTATGTTAGCGATTTCGAGCTTAACAACGTTCATTTCAGCCGCCTACATGCAACAACTCACGATACACAAAGTAAGCACATAAATTTCAGTGTTAGTTAGATAGATAGTTAGATAAAGTCTATCTAACAATAAAGTTAGATAGATTCAATGCATACGTCGTAGCCGTTTACGAAATTCAGCCGCTAACGAATGAGGGTATTTCCGGGCATCCAATCAAAAAGTCACCCACATAAAAAATGTTCATAATACATATATTTTATAATAAATTTTTGAAATTAGCTCATTTGGCTCAGTCGAAAATTTTTTTTGTGCCCCCAAAGTTTAGGTTCAAAAATGGCTATAAAAAATTTTCTACTCAGCCAAAAAACTTGCCTAATAGCTCATTTTGTAGCCAATTTGATGTAGATTCTTAAAGTAAAGCTACATTGAACATTTGGTTTTCAAAGCTAGGAGAAAGAGGGCGAGGAACGACTTCAGTTGAACCCGGTCGCTGTTTTCACATTTGAGAATTGTCCTGAATTTGTTCCTCGCCCTCTTTCTCCTACTTTCAACGAAAAATTGTTTTAGATGGCTTTACTTTAAGAAAGTACATCAAATTGGCTACAAAATGAGCTATTAGGCAAGTTTTTTGGCTGAGTAGAAAATTTTTTATAGCCATTTAGGGCATTTTCGAACCTAAACTTTGGGAAATACCCTCATTCGTTAGCGGCTGAATTTCGTAAACGGCTACGACACATAGATTTAGATTCCTTAAACTCTTAGCAACATTTTCCAACGTTACTCATGAGATTCTGGCTTCTTAATCAAAAAAAAACCAAAAAATTTCGAGCAGGATGGGATTCGAACCCACGCGGGCAGAGCCCATTAGATCTCCGCGATTTCATAGCAGTCTAACGCCTTAACCACTCGGCCACCTGCTCGGCTGGTTGCCTCTTTTCTTTTCCCCTCTAGAGAGCTCGCCCTTTTTTGGCTCTTCTATTTACAAATAATGAAAAAAACAAGGATATAAAAGGCTTCGAATTTTCAATCTTAACATTAATTTATATATAATTTATTTATTTTTAGATAGATTTTTATATATTTATATAAAAATATAATAAAATCTATATTCAATCTTGATTTTCCAGTTCTCTCTTGCATTATTCGCTTGTATCACCCCGTTTATGGCTTGTGGAACAGCTCTAGGATTTTTATTCATTTTCGGAGTTCGATTTGGATCGATTCTTTGCATTTCACCGTTTCTTGTACTGGCTATTGGTGAGTGATAAAGATATTCAGTTAAATGATTGACAGCTTTGAAATTTCTTGGAAAAAGGGCTTATCAAGAAATTCGAGTGTTCAGAAATCGTAATTTTTAGCTAAAAAACGAAGAGGAGGAGTTTAAGAAGTTCAATAAAGGAATAGGAATTATAATAAGTTCAATAAGAGGTATAATAAGTCAATAAGAGCTATGATAAGTCTAACAAGAGCTATAACAAGTTCAATAAGTCAATAAGAGCTATAATAAGTTCAACAAGAGCTATAATAAGCTCAATAAGTCAATAAGAACTATAATAAGTCGACAAGTTCAAGTCAACAAGTATAACAAGTTCAAAAAACTCAATAAATCCTTTAACAAGCTAAAATGTATAAAATTAACTATAAAATCCTAGCCTCACATCTCATTAAAGTAAAAAAACTCTCTCTTTCAAATTCTAGGTGTTGATGATGCTTATTTAATGATTCATGCATGGCAAAGAGTCTCAAAAAGACTTCGATCACATCCAGTTGACGATGATTCACCAGGATATCGACTGGCTGAGGTAAAAAAGCATTTTATTCTTAAAAACAAGCCAACTTGCAGGTGTTGACCGATACAGGACCAGCCATTATCATCTCTGCACTCACAAATATCCTCGCTGATACAGTTGGAACATTCACCGGATGTCCTGAGATCACACTTCTTTCTTATGGAAATATGGCTTGTATTGGTGTCGACTTTCTCTATCAGGTAAGATATCAGAAAGCCCAAGACTGGATTTTGGTCTGATTTGATTTAAGAGAGTACCTAAGAAACTTTGGAAGTTAGGAATAGACTTGCTATCCGATCAAAATTCTGTCGGATTGGATTGGATTGGATTCACTCAGTTTCAATCCAATTCAATCCGATGAAGGTGATCAGATCGGATCAGATTGAATCATCAGCATTGAATCCGTTCCAATGTAATATCTGGATTCAATCCATCGGCAAGTCTAGTTAGGAAAAAGCCAGGCCTCATTTTTCTGATCAGTCAGAACACCAATGAGACTATAGAGTTTACATTCTACGAGACTGTTCTTGCAGAGGATTGTAGTTGTAACTCTAACTAGAGTAGTAACTCTAACTAGAGTAGTAACTCTAACTAGAGTAGTAACTCTAACTAGAGTAGTAACTCTAACTAGAGTAGTAACTCTAACTAGAGTAGTAACTCTAACTAGAGTCTAAGTCTCTAACTCTGTACTAGAGTGGGCTCCTATTGGTTAAATATATTAATTATTTCAAAATTTGCATTTAATTAACGAAAAGCAGACATTAACCAGACATTAACCAGACAAAACCTTGGTCAAAAGACCGATTATCGATTTGTAGGCAGATGACTGAATATCTTGTTTTCTGTATTCTGCATTCTGTACATCTTTTCATCCCAATCCCATTTCTCAATTCAGATCTCTTTCTACGCGGCCATCATGGCTTTAGCTGGGCGTTTCGAGATCGGCGATGAACAACAAAAGAAAAACAAGTTGAGTATCGAGATCGGTGATGAAAATTCGGTGGATATCTGTCATGGGGAATGCTGTCCAAAGGTATCAAGATTAGCAACAATTCCCCCAAAATTCCCCAGGTCTCCGAGGGTTTCCACGATGCGGTGAAGACGCAATTCAACGCTTTCCTTGATGGATACGTGAATTTGGTGAACAATCGCCTTTTCGATACGGCTGTTTTCATCGCCTGGGCTGCCTATATTGTGCTTTGTATATATGTGAGTTAAAGTTTATGATATAGGCCAATGCATTATACATATTATACAGGGCTGTTCCTAGACCAAAAGGCCAGGCTTTTAGGCCAGGCCATAAATCAATATGGCATGGCTTATGGCCTGAGTTATGGCCTAGCTTATGGCCTGGCTTATGGCCTGGCTTATGGCCTAGCTTATGGCCTGAGTTATGGCCTGGCTTATGGCCTAGACAGGCCTTGAAAAACCATAGCTTTTGAGCCATATTTTGTTTTTTCTTGGCTTTTGCTTTTCTAGCGACTAAAGTACCGTATTTATTCTAATAAAAGCAATTTTGTGGAATGATGGAAGCCCAGCCTCTAATAGAAGCAATAATTATAGATACTCATGACTTTTCATGGCCCTGGCTTTTGGCCTGGCCTGGCCTTCGAAATTTTTCAGGCTAGCCAAAGCCAAGCCATATGCATGGCCGATGGCCTGGCTAGCCATGGCTTGCTTTTTAGAACAGCTCTGCTATTCTACATTTAAAAATCACATTACATTTCGAAAATTATCCAAATTCTTTAGGGAATCTCCAATATCAAAGTGAACATTTCTTCGAAAAAGCTTTTTGCCGGCGATTCTGATCTCCAAATAATGGAAGATCTCCGTTACAAACATGTCTATCCATATTATGTCATTGTACAAGTTTTTGTCAACAATCCCGGAAATCTCAGTGATCCGAAAAGATTAGAAAGGTTTGAGAAAAAGAAGAATCTTTGAAAAAATCAATTTTAGACTTAATACTTTTGTCTCAGAATTTGAGCAATTGCCTGGCGCATGGGGAAATGTTAGCACAAACTATTTTATTCGGTGAGTGTTGGTTACTGGAGCTAAAATTCTATGATACATTAATTATAGTCATTTTTCTTGTGTAGTACTATGGTAGCTAAGATAGCTAAGATATCTTAGCTAGGTAGCTAAGGTAGCTAAGTACTATGGTAGCTAGGTAGCATTACTTATAATCCAAAATTTCCAGAGATTTCATGGAATTCGAGGAAATCAACCGGGAAATGGATGGGGAAGAGGGAGATTTCAAGACAAATTTCGATCCAAATGATCTCCCGCAATTCATCGAATGGACTGAATACGAGTTTTGGAGGGGATTTATCCGGCTGTCAAACGATAAAAAGTAAATTTTAGTCTATTTATCTGAGTTTTACAATTGGAGTTTGCTCCTCGCGATTAATACGTTTTCTAAAATGCGCTCCCCGAGAAAAAATGGAATCTACACATAAAGTTACGGGGGTGGGACAAATGCTACCTTTTTTTTGCGCACCTGGACATTTGCGCACCTTTTTTTTGCTGGAAAAGGCCGTAGAGCTTCGAAAATATTTCCATATAAGGGAATCGTATGCGTAGATTCCGAATTTCGACAAATTTGACGTGTCAGCGAGGTGTGATTTGTCGAAATTCGGAATCTACGCATACGATTCCCTTATATGGAAATATTTTCGAAGCTCTACGGCCTTGCCTAAGGCCTTTTCCAGCAAAAAAAAGGTGCGCAAATGTCCAGGTGCGCAAAAAAAAGGTCGCATTTGTCCCACCCCCGTGGAATCTACACATAAAGTTACCCCAGAAAAAGTGGTTTTGAAGAAAAAAAAGTGCCCCCCAAACTTTATTTGTATCCAAAAAACAAACAAAACAAGAAAAAAACCGAAATGAAACAAAAAAAAATGAAAAAATGTACCAAATTTTAGTCTTTTACGTCGTGCAAAAAGTTCACGTTTTAGCGCGCAGAACGGTCGGGTGTACGGTAGAATGTACACCAAATCATAATTCTAGTAAATTCTAAGCAAATTTTAGTCTATTTATCTGAGTTTTACAATTAGAGTGTATTCCACTTTTTTGGGCACTTTTGTTGGGCAAATTTTGGGCACTTTTTTGGGCACTCTGGGGTATTTTTATGCGTAGATTCCGAAAAACACAAGGAGTGCTTGGGAAAATGCGTTCTAAGAGCTTTCAGAGATCAGAGCTTTCAGCTTTCAGATCAGAGCTTTCGGAGCAGAATTCAAATTACCGTATTTTCTCTAATAGTAGTGCACCATGAGCGTCGCATAAATTGTTCGAAACCTCGAGAACCGCTTATCAGAACCTATCGATGTGGGGTCGGAAAATGTAGCTGACGATCAGATCTAGTGATCTATTTGAGTGTTGAACTTCTGCAAAAGCTTGGAAACCGTAAAATAGTCACCAACTCGGCTCGCTGCAGTACTATTAGAGAAAATGCGGTAATTGATCGCGAAGAACAAACTCAGGCTTGATTTGATCTTGATTGATCTACTTACAATTACAATTAGTCTAGAAGTTTAGAAGTCTAGAAGTTTTTAGGCATTCTATTAACAATTTTCATTTCATTTCCAGCAACAACACACATTTGGATCGTTTCTTTTTCACAACCGCTTTTCATGGGAAAGAATTTTTGGCGTGGAAAACGCGATCGATTGCAATGCATCAATGGAGAGATGTCGTTGATAAATATAAGTGAGTCGTTGATAAATATAATCATAGTTATTGTAAACAATTTTTATCCAACAATCCAACTTTTCAGTCACGAGTTCAACTCGACAGTTTTCTACGACGAGGGAATCTATATCGATTTCATGGACAATATGGCGACAGATACCTGGCAGGTACGAGAAATAGCATACTTTTGTTCAATTTGCATCTTTAATTTGCATATTTAGTCAGCTGCTGGCACTCTCTCCTGTATGGCGTTGATCTGTTTCATTTTCATGTATGATTTCTTCACTGTTGTCGTCTCAACGGCTGCCATTGCATCGGTGATGGCTGGTTGGTGACCTTAAAGTGGCCTTGGTTGTTGAAAACGCACCCTTTCTGATGAACCCTTTCATTTACAGGAATTCTTGGCATCAATGCCCTCCTCGGAATGGAACTCGATCCAATCGTGATGGCCTCATTGGTGATTTCAGTGGGATTTTCGGTGGATATCCCTGCGCATGTGTCATACCATTTCCATATGGCTGGTAAGCTATCTTCATTTAAATGTACATTGTGATCAGGTATTCCAAAGCAATTTTCAGGTAAGGACAAGGTAAGGCCGAGATCTGATCAGAAGCCAAGCCTTGGTCGTTTTATTGTGGAACATTTGAGACGCGCCCTTTGCCATTGTCAATCCAACTTTGAACTCAAATATCTTGGTGTTGAGCTGTCCAATTTAAATAGTTTTTCTAACAATCGATAGAGAAAGACTTGGCGCATCTAATGATACCAAGAATATTGAAATCGAACAGACCAAAGCCAAGATATTTGAGCTCAAAGTTAGATGGTCAATGGCAAAAGGGTGGGCGCGTTTTAAATGTCCGATAATCTTTAAAAAAAAGCATTAATCGCGCATTAATCGGTTAATCGATTACAATTAAAATTTTAATCGTCTAGCTTTGATCAATTAATTATCGCGAGGAGCAGACACAAGTCTGGTTTGGCTTTATTTGAGGCCTAGACCGGCTTCGGACCGAGCTTCAGACCGGACCGAGCTTCAGACCGGACCGAGCTTCAGACCGGACCGAGCTTCAGACCGGACCGAGCTTCAGACCGGACCGAGCTTCAGACCGGATCGAGCTTCAGACCGGATCGAGCTTCAGACCGGATCGAGCTTCAGACCGGATCGAGCTTCAGACCGGATCGAGCTTCAGACCGGATCGAGCTTCAGACCGGATCGAGCTTCAGACCGGATCGAGCTTCAGACCGGATCGAGCTTCGAGCTTCGGGCTTCGGACTGAGCTTCGGACTGGACCGAGCTTCGGGCTTTGGACCGGACCGAGCTTCGGGCTTCGAGCTTTGGACCGGCCCGGGCTTCGAGCTTCGGACTGCTATTGAGTAATGTAAGGAATTGAGATCGGGTGAGTTTGATGGCCATTCGCCTGGTCGTTGTTGATGTCCACGGTGATGCAACGGTTAAATGTAGTAAGATGCGCGTCATCATAATCGTGGGACATCCTGTATAAGTCCCAGTTGGAATATCCTTGCTTTTGTTTAGCTCGAGCCAGCTTAGCTTTCTTTTCAGATGCTCATCTGCACGGTGAGGTGACAATTCGAAAGCGTTTACGTTATTGTCTGGCCTCTGTTGGTTTCCCGGCGATTCAGGCGGCAATCTCGACAAATCTTTGCGTTGTCGCTCTGCTCTTTGCTGACATCTACACATCGAGAGTGAGTTGTAGAATTAGAAAACTGGATTTGCATGAACTGGAAACTGGATGAGAATCCATCATTTTCATTTAAAAGCCATTTTCATTTTAAAGCCATTTTCATTTTAAAGCTATTTTTATTTTAAAGCCAGCTTCTTCACGAATCAAATTTTCAGGTTTTCGTTAGAATCATGGTTTTATGCGTGTCTTTGTGTCTTCTTCACGGGATTCTGATCATTCCTTGTGCGATGTCTTTACTCTCACCGATCATCGATTTCTTCAGAACGAGAAGGAAATGCTGTTGATTGGAGATGATCCTCTAGATCCTCTAGATCCTCTAGATCCTCTAGATCCTCTAGATCCTCTAGATCCTCTAGATCCTCTAGATCCTCTAGATCTTCTAGATCCTCTAGATCCTCTAGATCTTCTAGATCCTCTAGATCCTCTAGATCCTCTAGACCTAGAAGATCCTTCACTCACCCCAAGCTCATCTCATCATTTCATCTAGAAGATCTTCCATCAATCCTCTATCAATTTCTAGTGATTAGAAAACGCTTTTTTGTCAACAAAATAGATTGAAGTATTGAAATTTGCCTGTAATTTGATGCCCAATGAATGTCCTTCACTCATCCCAAGCTCATCTCATCATTTCATTCAATGTCCACATTTCTTTTCCCTCTTCTTCATCTTCCCAAAGTTGTGGCAATTTTCTGGTGGTACTTTTGTGTGTGCATTTTGTTAAAATTGCATTTTTTTACAGTAAATCTTTGGTGCTTTATGCGAATTTTAGGATTTTTTTATAAGCAGTGAGTTTTGAGTGAAAAAAAAGTGGGAAAAGTCGAGCCTCTCAATTTTGCTTTCCCTCCAAAACTCATCAACAGCTTTTTGTTTAAATACGTGTGTTTTCTTCGATGGGTCTCTTGATAAGTCATAAGACAAATTTTGCTTTTTTTCTTTCGATAAATAAAGATTTTTATAAGGAAATGAAAACAGGAAAAAGAATTAAAGATTTTGTTTAAATTTATAGTATTGACTGGGCCCTTGATTCTGTGGTACTCTTGATTCATTTCAATGACTTTGGTCGACTCGGCAAAAGAGTTAAAGCTGTGGGAAACTTACCTGTGGCCTTAGAAGTGGTACTTTAGCAATACTGCAGCCTTAGAAGCAGTGCTGTAGCCTTAGAAGCAATACTGCAGCCTTAGAATCAGTGCTATAGCCTTGAAAACGTTACGGTAGCCTTAGAAGTAGTACTATAGCCTTAGAAGCAATACTGTAGCTGTAGCTTTTATCTAGCTTCGTTAAATTTGACCTTTAAACTGTTAACTGGACATCAGTGTCTTTTTAGCTCCGTTATAGACGTTCTTTGTTAGACATCAGTGTCTTTTTCATCCATTTCCACACCCTTTTTTCCTCCCATCTCTCATCCCAAATCGCAATGACGTCAAAAGATAAGTAATATCCAATTGAACATTGAAAAATAGAGATAGATAGGGTTTTTTTATGGGTTATATATATTATTTCTAGCCAAAATACGGAAAAATGACTCACGATCAGCACAAATTAGAGATTTTTGATTGAAAATACAACAAACGAACTCCGTCAATCGCTTTCCCGACCTTGAAAACCCCTGAGTACAAACTTTTGGCTTGATATCTCATCTGAAAAATGTTTACAGAACATAAGAAATTCCTTTGTAAAGAGACTGCGAGGTGTTCTTTGTGCGGTGGGGGAATCGCTCGCCATCTGACGCAGGGCTTTTTCATAATAGGGGCTTTTCGCTTCCTGGCTAACTAACTTGGCCTTTCGATTCGTCGCCGTCAATCCGGATCTCGCCGATGTAATTTTATTAAGACTATAGGTTCCGATGCTGAATGGGTTTTATATGATGAGGATTATATCGGAACAATATGTATTAAAGTCTCATGAATTTCCCATGGGCCTTTCTGAATTCGTTTCTGGATTTCTGAACCTATAAGTTGCAATGCTGGATCTCTTATAATGATGACAATTGTAGCTCAAATATGGCTCAAAATCTCAACAATTTCCTTTAGGTCATTTTCTCTTTCTTCTCGGCGATCTGTACGGTCCGGGTAGCACCAGATTTTAACCGAAAGTGACAGTTAACTTCTAAGTGACTTCTAAAACTGATAACTAACTTCTAAACGCCTAACTTTTTCTCAACTCCCTTGAAGGCCACTGCAGCTGAATCTTTATCCCCATGATGTAGGCTACTTTAGACCACTTTCACTTTCTCGTCGGTCCGGGTAACACTGGCCGTATCCGAAGGGGCACCGATAACCGAATGACGTACTGATAATAGAATGACGATGATGACTCGATCTCGATGATCCCCATCCCAATTATGACTCAAATAATCAATTTTAAATTCTCTCTTCAGCGAAAAGAAAAAAGATCCTCAAAAAGTGTCTCTCCGAATTGATAACTTGATCGAGTTGAGCAAATTTCTCTAAAAAAATCGTCAAAATCATCGTGTTCATTTCAAGGTCGGTTTCGGTGGTGATTTTTTTGTGGAAAAATTGTTATTTTGTTCAAGCTTAGGTCGTGAAACTCAAGTCTGAAGACTCAAATTCTCAAGAAATCTGCTTTTGATTGTAATGCTCAAAGCTTTTTTTTACTTTTTTCATCTTTTGCTTTTGCTTTTGCTTTCTCATTTCACAATCAGTTCCGCAATTTTGCCCACCACTTGTTATGAAGGAGAAAAAGTTGCTGAGATGTTATCAATCGCCATTTTTTGACTTTTAAATTAACCAGCATTTATTGATTTCCCCATTTCACCCATCTTTGATCAATTTCAGATGATCCTTTTATTGATATTTCTTTTTATTGTCCCGATTCTCACTCAAAATCCGGCTTGTCGAAATGCGCCCACTCCTGCAGCAAGAATTGTCTGCGAGCAGCTCCACAGATGGGACACAACGGCCAGGGTATCATTTTTAAAGCATAAAAACTCTTTAAAAAGCAGTGAGAAAAAAGTTTTTGATTACGCTAACAATACCTAGTGAAATAAGATCGAAATGTATCAACTATCCAGATGTTACGTCCATTATTGAATCTATTCAATAACAGACGTCCGGTTCTGAATCGTTTTTTTCCTAACTACACTTTTGGTAATAAAAAATACTAGATTTTAAGGGCTATCACCCAAGCACGTAGCATAAAGCATCCAGCATAAAGCATCCAGCATAAAGCAGCGCAGAGAACGGGACTACGGAGAACGGGAACAAAGTTAGACTACGCCTCTGTACGCCCGGCATTATCGGGGTGGCGTGCCATAATGACAGGCGTACAGTCGTTCGCCTTGGCATTCTATTAAAGTCTTTACGGTAGGAAAAGTAACTTGAAAAAATAGAAATCAATGATTTTAATGATTTAATGGTTACTCTAGTACGCGCATCATTAAAATAACTCTAGCAGGCGCATCATTAAAATAATTTTGCGTTCCTATTTTGCGCAGATCACAACCTGCTTCCACATTTCTCTATCCCTTGCTATTGTCATCCAGTGTTTCCTAGCTTGATTGTTTCTGGTTCGAAGTCTTCGACTTGCTGGTGCTGGTGGTTGCACTCTAGCCATCCTTTCTCTGACCGTCTCTGCCACTCTTGTGCTCCACCTCGTTGCTGGTCTTCCGATGGGCCTCTTCTGGTCTCGTGGTAGCCACTCTGTGATCCGTATCGTCCATCTGTCGTCTGTTCTTCTGGCTACGTGGCCGGCCCATCTGAGTCTTTTTCTCTCAATCACTTCCACTGGATCTCTGAGTCCCGAGAGCTGGCGCATATCCGTACTTCTTAAGACCAGAAATCGCTAAAAGACGAGCGGCCTGGACAGCACTAGGAAGCATCAAAGAAGTCACAAAGAAAGTGGCCTGGACAGCACTAGGAAGTATCAAAGAAGTCACAAAGAAACCGTAAGAATAAACTAACAAACAAAGAATAAACTAAACAAACTAAAAGAACAAAAATAGAGATGTGAAACGCGCAAGTTAGCTAGGAAAGTGTTGATTGATTCAAAAACGGACTTTCGATTCTGAATCGGACAATTCAACTTAATTCAACATATTCAACATATAAGGCTTTTCAGCAAGCCTCAGCCAACAAGCCGACCGTTCATCTCCCACCGGGTGCAAGTGGTGCTTCGTGGGCTGGAGATCTTGCCCCAATTGTGACGAATCTTCGTGCATGCACTGATATGGCATGTGTATGTCAAATGTTAGCTGGTTTGTTTTATTCAAATCTTTGAAATTTGATTGTAAAGCTTTCTAGGAATGAGAAGCAACTCTTGCACCTATCAAGGGAAACGCGTCGGGAAAGTTTGTTTATTTTATAAACATCACAGATTTTGTTTATTTTATAAATAGAATAGTGCAAAGGGAAGATATTCAATGAATGAGATATTCAATGAATGAAATATTCAATTAATGACATATTCAATGAATTCATCTATTCAATTCCATTCTTGAATGAAATCTTCTTATTCAGCTTGTTCGCAAGGAGTACCGAATGATGAGCGATTATGAAAGACAACGATTTCACGGAGCTGTGAATACATTGAAACAAAGTGGAACTTATGATCAAATTGGTAAGTTTAAAGGATTTTTCCTATCGATTCTTTTCCCATTTGCATATCAATTCAGCGAAAATGCACTCACAAATGAGTCAATCGGGCGGCGCACACTCGGGACCAGCATTCCTTGCATGGCATCGAGAGTTCATCAAAGAGTGAGTCACAGATTTGTAGTCACAGATTTGTAGTCACAGATTTGTAGTCACAGATTTGTAGTGACAGATTTGCAGTCACAGATTTCCTCAAACAAACTCGAACCTCGATTTCCTCGTCTTTTGTTTATGATTGATATGTTTATGATATGATTTCTCTGACTTTTCTAGATTTTAACTTACAACTTAACGCGTTTTTTCCCTTTTTTTGTGTTATGCTTACTAATATTTCCTTTTTAGGTAATGTCGTCAATCAAAAATCGTCAATCGTCAATCGTCAATAGCCTCTATAAACGAGCAACAATGCAATGAATCCGAAATAGGCCGAATTTCGTCGGAATTTCGAACGAGGATTGAACAAACCTTTGATGATGATGAAAGCAAAGACGAAGGCAAAAGGATTCAAGAGAAACGACTAAACAAGAACAAGATGCAAACGGAAATAAAGCCGAAAATGCGACGAGTGCAAGAGGAAAGTGGCGAGCTTTTGATGTAAAGATTGAAATCATCAAATAAGTGAATTGAAGTCATCAAACAAGTCAATTGAAGTCATCAAAAACGCCAAGATGAATTCTGGAACCGCCAAACTATTTGGAGTAAGCAGAAAATCGATTCAAGAATGAAAGCAACAAGAAGAAGCACTCAAACAAGTCGAGGACGGAAAAAGGAAACGAATTGACGAAGGTGGCACCGTTTGACATTGACATTGACAGATTTGGCGGCACCTGAAGTGAAATGACACCACTTTGACCACTTTGACACCAGAAGTGACACCACTTTGACCAAGTGGATTCGAGATCAATGAGCCAAAAAGAAGCTGCTTTCCAGAAGATGCCCGACTCGATGAAGAAATTGCGGCTATTCCTGAAGGGTTGGATACAATGGGAGAAAATGCATTAAGCTTCGATTTAGATGCACCCTTAGACTTTATGAATTATTAAAATCTTGGTCCTTTATGGTTAAATCTTTATGGTTAAAATCTTTATATCTTTTATTTGTTTGTTTTAATTGTTAATTTGTTATTTTGTTATGTTCACTGGTGGAAAAGTGAATAAATCTTAAGGATTGTTTTCTTGTATTCATTGCAACTACTTTTGGTGATCCAAGAGGTTTACTTGTTGACTTGGGCTGTCAAACATTAGAGCCACACCCTCTAATAGAGCCTCACTCTCTAATAGACCCGTACTTTTGGTGACTACCGAAAAATAGAGGATTTAGGGTAAAGAAATTGCGTATAAACAAATTTACATAACGACGATAGCCTCTTTGAAGCGCACGCTTTAGAAAGCGCATTTATCACGTGGAAAACACTCTAATCTGCACAGATTCCTTTCAATTGCAAATGGCTCAAGCGGCTTTCCGATTTCAAACTAATTTCAAACCAGTTTAGCTCAAAGACGATTTTCAGAGTCGAATTCGAGTTACGCCGAATCGATCCCGATATCTACATTCCCTACTGGGATTCAGCTCTCGAATCCCGTCTACCGAGACCCCAAGACTCGTCGTTTTTCTCGTAAATTTTTTAAACAGACCCAGTTCTATTAAAAGTTCTATCCACAGATTGTAGCTTAACGCTTAACAGCTTAACGTACTCTTGTAAAGAAACAATTTTAGTGCCGAATTGATGGGAACGGGCAGTGGAAATGTGGTTGAGGGACCGTTCGCTAATTGGAGAACGATTGAGGTGAGTTTGGAGCTGATACAACACTTGCGACCTTTTTCCGAGAAAATTTCTGGGTTGGCGCAGTTGGCTAAAGCGATTCTGGGTTGGCGGTTTAAAGCGTGGTAAAACTACCGTACCCCTCCTAATTTGCGCGAAATTTCATTTTTTTCATTCTTTTTCCATTTTTCTGATGTGGTCGCGTTTGTTTTTGCAGGAAACAAAGAGGATAAAGCTAAGTTACGTTTTTAACAGCATTTTCTCTGGCGGAAGCTTTGTTTGTAGAGTTTTTTTTTTAGACCCACTTGCTTCCCGAAGATCTGCTCCACGAACTTGATGCCAAATAATGTTAAGTTAAGTGCTTTTCATCATTTTCTATGTTAAATTAAGTGCTTTTCATCCTTTTCTATGGTGGAAGCTTGGTTTTTGTGACTTTTTAGTTGAAAAAGCGTTGAAACGTCGAAAAAACGCAAAAAGAATCAAATGAAATGAACAAGAATGAAAAAAATGAAATTTCGCGCAAATTGGGGGGGGGGTACATTAGTTTTATCACGCTTTAAAGCGCCAATCCACGATTTTCTCGGAAAAAGGTCGTAAGTCTTTCAGAAGAGCCTAATAGCCAAAATTTGCAACATCTCCATACATTTTTATCATTTTCTATGTTAATTTAAGTGCTTTTCATCATTTTCTATGGCGGAAGCTTGGTTTTTGTGACTTTTTAGTTGAAAAAACTTTGAAAAACGCAAAAAGAATAAAATGAAATGAACAAGAATGAAAAAATTTCGCGCAAATTAGGTAGTTTTACCACGCTTTAAAGCGCCAACTCAGGATTTTCTCGGAAAAAGGTCGCAAGTGATATAACTTGCCTGTTATCTATACTAACATTTTTGGCTCTTGAGTAGTTGTATTTTGAAAGAAACCGGGTATTTTGAAAAAATCTGAGACCTTGAACGGGGCGCCACACTTTGAAGGCCTATAACTTTGTCCAGAGATAATATTTTTCTTAACCTTTTATATCATTGTACAGAGGAGATTTCAGGCTTTCAAATGATACCAAATAGAGCTTGATTGGATAATCGAGTCCAAGAAAATCAGAGCCAACTCTGAGCAAATGAGTTTTCGAACTCGAATTCGAACTCGGGTCGTCTGGTTTTCATGGGAATTAAAGTCCAACCAAGCTCTCTTTGGTATCATTTGAAAGCCTGAAATAGCCTCTGTACAATGATATAAAAAGTTAAGAAAAATATTGTCTCTGAACAAAGTTATAGGCCTTCAAAGTGTGACGACCCGTTCAAGGTCTCAGATTTTTTCAAAATATCCGAAAACTACGCAAGTGCCCAACTTTTCAATCTCAATTTCGACATTTCAGAATCAACCACTTCGACGAGCGGCCGGTGGTTCGGGTAATCCGTTTACAGTGAGTTAAACGACTTATTGAAAACCTTTAACTTTTCCAGGATCGAGACATCAATTATATTCTCCAACAGCCCACAATCACAAATGTTCTCGCTTTTTCAGCAGCTCAAGAGGTTTAAGAGCATTTTCAAAGTTTACCTCTCAATTTCCCATTTTCAGCGATGCCCTTACCGTCCGGACTTCAATTGTTTAGAGTACACACACGGAAATGTGCATTTATGGGTGGGAGGTGAGATTACTGTACCTTTCTGCTTACTTTCTGACCGATTCCTGTACAGGTCACATGTTCGATCAGATGACGTCAGCGAATGATCCGATCTTCTACTTGCATCACTCGTTTGTCGACTTGATTTGGGAATCTTGGCGTTTATCGAGACAGGTACATCTTTGGTCAGATTGAATTGGCTCGAAACCAGGCTTCAGGCTCAGGTTCGGGCTCAGGTTTATAAAAAACCAGGCTCAGGCTCAGGTTTATAAAAACCAGAGCCAGGTAGCTTATAAATTAGAGTATAAAACTTTACAGACTCTAGAGTCTGGCTAACAATCTTTCCTTGCGATTTGTGCTTCCTTTCAGAATCGTGCCCAACGTGAGTCCGATTACCCGGCCGACAATCAACTCTGTTCATCAGCTCAACATTTCGGTGCATCTCGAATGGCTCCTTTCAATCAATATCGGTAAAAGGGATCGGAAGTCTTCATCAATCATCATTTAGTAACATTGATGGTCTCTCAAATAAGTACACTGATGAACTCTATCAATACGCACCCCGGCCCACATGCACTTCTGTCAATCCAGGTTGTGGGAGTCGGTGAGTAAAGAAAAGCAGCCGGACGGCTACCTATTTATTTTCCTTACCAGGCTTGTAAGCGGAAAATTTAATATTTTTGATTTTCAAAGCAGAACGAATGGGGCAGCTACGCACTCCGGCGAAAAAGTGCTGAACAAAAGATTATTACCTCGCGAATTTTTCTCCATCTTTGAAGAGCTATAATTCCAAGCCTTTCCATCATAAACTAGAAGTGTTATAATGATTCTGAAAGTTTAAAACGATTCTCGGATAGACCAATTGTAATGGACGACATGAATTGACGTTCCGCATGAATTGAGCACCGAAAATCTGGCGTTTCGATCAGCCATATCTCGCTTCTAAAATCGAAAAGAAGCCATTTTTTTGAGAATATCTTGACGATGGAAAAGAAGTGGATTCTCTTCGATAACACTTCTCGAAAAAGACAATGGCTCAGCAAAGGTGAAATGCCAATTTCAACTCCAAAGCCGGACTTTTTGTTGTCTTTCTGTGGAATATCAATGGGCTTGTTTATTTCGAATTGTTAAAGCCAAACGGTTGATTCATCTTGTTTTATTCAACAGCTCAAAGAAGGTTGACCAAATTTTGCGCCAAAAGGGTTTAAATCCCTCGACTGTCAATTTTCTCCGCGCCAGCAAACACAGCGAAAGCTTCTTGGATGGAGTTAGAGGAATTAGGATATAATGTCTTACCGCATGCACCATACAGTTCAAACTTGTCACCATCTGCTTTTCACCTCTTCAGATCGATGCAACATTCCCTGGCGAATTGCCAGTTTGCCAGAGATCGAATTGCCTTGCGAATTGCCAGAGATCGAAATTTGAGTGACCGACTACTTTCAATCACAGAATCAAGAGTTCTTCGATAATCCTCAATCAGATCAATCGATAATCCTCAATCAGAAGCAACTTTGGAGAGATTTTATAGAAAACGATGATGCTTATTTTGGAATAAATTGTTACCTAAAGGAATTTTGATTAAATTTTTTGTTTGTAAACAAAACGAGATTCCTTTTGCATCAATCTAGTAGCCCGCATTTGTTGTTTTTCTTTGAAAATTAAAGATTCAATTTTCCGCAAGCCTGTTTCCCACAAAGTCAATCTAGTTTCCTCTTCTGCGATGTCTCTCATGGAGCTCCTCGATGTGCAGCAAAGATTCGAGTTGGCGGAAGTGTACGTGGAAGCATATTTAAATAATTTAAATATGTAAATGTTAAATATCTTGCACTATTTACTAAAACGATAAGTCTAAAACTTTTAAACTCTAGTGTCAAGGCTTCGTTCGGGGTGAGGACTCATGCTACAATGGGGTCTGTTGGCAAGGAGTGTGTCGGCCTGGGGTAGGATTTATATCGATATTTGATCTGTAGATCTATAGATCTAGAGCTGTAGATCTATAGATCTGTAAACAGATTAAGTAGTTAATTAGTTATATCGATAAAATAGGCTGTTGCAACAACAACCGTAGCTCCGACGATCACCGTCCGCCCATCGCTACCCGTCCCCAATGTTGTGGTGAGTAAAGAAAACGGAATTATTTCAAGGAACGCACTGCACGTTAGCCTAATATCTAGCTTCCATTTATGAACAATTTCTATTATTCAGGATTGCTGGAACGAGAACCAATGTTGTCAGGCATGGGCGGCAAGGGGCGAATGCACAACGAACAGGGGATACATGCAAGATTTCTGCAAAGCTTCCTGCAATATCTGTCGACCAAATCCACCAATTCGTGATGGTTCGTGGGAATGTTTTCATTTCTGATCTTCCATTCATTTTCCAGATTGCTCTGATCGTCATCCAACGTGCGGCTCTTGGACGAGCACCGGTGAATGCACAAAGAACCCTGATTGGATGACTGAGGTGAGGGTATTCGCCGATACTGTATCCATTCTACAGCATTCTGTATCTAAGCATTATCTCAGAACTGTCGTCGCAGCTGTAATCGGTGTCAACAGACGCGAGCGCAAGCCTGCTCCCGGGGACAAAGTGAGTCCAAAATCGTTTTCACAGAATCGACCCCGGACTCTCAACACACATAGATCACGTCGCTAGTGCTATATTTCATTTAAATCCTATCGACCATAAAGAATCCAGGAATCGAGGCCAAACCCCAGCACCAACCCTCCATTTTTAGCCTCGGTAACACAAGCGCCGCGAGAGCAATGCGAGAATTCCCCGGGTTGTTTCAATGAGTACGCTTGTTGCCCACATTGGGCTAATCAGGTAAATCATAGATTTAACTGCTTTCAAATTCCCATAATGCTAGGGCCAATGTCGCAGCAATCCGAGCTTCATGATGTGCAATTGTCGGGTCTCGTGCGGCATGTGTTTCCCGACCGATTACCCGTATGGAGGTTTGTCGATCTTCTTGATCTTGAACTCGGTGTTATCTGACTTTATTTGCACTAATAATCAAGCTATACCCAAACTCTAGCTTGTGTCGATTACCATCGTGATTGCCAAGCATGGACTCGAAGTGGAGAATGTCGAAAGAACCCGTGGATGGAAGAGAATTGTCGCTCGAGTTGTCAAACTTGTTTTGCCCAATGGGACCTTCGATCGATGTGTGGATCAACGGCAAATGCGGGGTAGATTTTTGGAAATAAGAAGTGACTTTTCAGTTTGTCTGATGTGATGTATTGAATCCTTGTCTGTGAATGTGTATAAAGCCTACAGCAGAAGACCGCTGCCGTTTTTCTGCTAACCACAGCTTTAGCATAATATCCGGAAGTCGTGGCGCCTCATTTGCTTCACGCACAGCGCCAGCAACAGCAATGAGAGCCCGACCGAGGGCTCGTCCAAGAGCAAGAATTGCCCCAAGGTTAAGAAAATAGCCTAAAGCCAGAATTTGCTACTTTAACTGCTAACCTTGCTACTTTAACAGATTGGGGTCACGGAAAGAACAACAAATTCCAATAATCCATTTGCTTAATGTGAAAATGACAGTTTAGATTGATCGCCGGTAATCGTCAAGCAGCTCAAACGAGACAAGTGCCAAGAGCAGGATGGGGTGAGTTTTGAAGTCGCAAAATCTAATCAGAATGACCATACTACTGCTATAATTCTGAAATATTAGATAAGTAAAGTTTAAGGCAATCAAGGTGGTTGGGATGATTCATGGAATGGCAATTTCGACATGGGAAATGTCGGATGGGGATTCGGTGGATGGGGGAGAAGACGAAGGGACACTCAACAGTTTAACAATACAATTTGAGTTATCCTGTATTTCTCGAAAGCTTACAGTACAATGCCTTCCTTTGTTAGTCGCTAGCTAAATTTATATGTCAATTTATTCAATAAAACAACTTCAAAAAATTCAAGTAAATAAAATTAAAAACCCGTATCGATACAAATAAGAAAACCTATTTTAACTTCAATTGCAATGTGCCGGCTGGAGTGGTGATGAGAATCGGTACGGAGATCGAATTAATAATCTGGAAAATAAAATTTGTAAGTTGTAATTACAATTTTTAAAATAAAAACAGGCACTTTTACCAATTTCAAACGGACGGAATCCAAACCTGTTTGGCAACTTCAGCGACGATTTGCTCGGTTTTGTTAGCGATACAGTCTCCTTTCTTGAGATGGCGTTCGGCAAGCAAAACGTCGCCACTCCGTACCACAAGTTGTTGCTCCCAACCCTAAAATAAAATGGATGGGTTGCAAATTTAAAATTGAAAGCATCCCTCAACACACCCTCAATTGCTCCAAAGAGTGGGCCATCGGTAGTCCACTCGCATTCATTGCTTCGGCTAATTGAGCCATTCCAGCTGGTTTTTCTGATAAATGACGAGATGCTCGAATCAAACGTCGGCGATAAGATTCCTCGTAACATTCATACGGACCCTAAAGTTTTTTAAAAAAAGAAAAAAAATAGTTTAAACCTTTAACGTTTCGTTTGCATTCCCAAAATGAATCTCTTTGCCGACCACCGTCATTTCTCCACCTTCCACTATTGTTTCGACAACTGTTCCGACGATTATTTCTTTCTTATCGACTCCTACAGTGGAAATACTAAAACGTGGCACATAGAATAAAACATAAAATAAAGTAGGCACCGTCTTTTGCAGATCAAATAGTCACCCAATCGAAGTTCTGCACCGTCGTGTTTATCGAGAAATTGCCATGTTATCTGATTACGACCTAAAAGCTACAGTCGTAAAAAGTTAAAATTTGGAATTCCGCAAAAATAACTAAAGCCTACCGCAAGCTGTGTTCAATTGTTGCAGTGGTGCGCTCTTTCTGTCAGCTATTTGTAGTTGTGCTCGCAGTTGGACGAGTTTTTCTTCAAATGGCGTTTTCTGAGCCCGTCGTTGCTCAATGGTCGGACGCCTTTCAGCCTAAAGAAAAAGTCTTAAGGTGCTCAAAATTCTTCTGCATCAAAACGTAAAAACATTCTGTGATCTTTTTCAATAAGAAATCTTATTTTATCTCGCATAATTATGGGAAATAAAATGCTTACTTCTATTTTCTCCCGAATATCATTTGCGTGGGCTCGTCCGACGCTCGCTTTCACAAAGGCCCGATCATTTTCAAGGCGTCTTGCTCGATCCATTATTCCGCGCCCGAGTTCTCTAAAGAAATAGTACTGGTCCAACTTTCTTTCTCTCTCTCTGAAGATCACCTTATCTTTTCCATCAACGTTGAACTGTACTCACAACCGATCATGTTCACATTGATGAACACTTGTGAGAGGCAGCGCAAATTCTCTCTAAAACAAAAAGTAAAAATAAAATAAAATTGTAATCTTACATTGGGAAATCTTTCCAATGTGCTTCCAAAAATGTTTTCCTTGCTAGCCATACTTGGTCATTTTCCCATGGTCTTCGCTCGGCTTCCAGGTCTTCTTCCGAAAGCTTCTGTTTCTTGACGACGGGCTCATCGTTTTCTTCGGTCATTCTAAATCATATTTTTTTCAAAAACAAAATATTATTTAAATAATATCGATTTAAAAAACGGAGATCAAAAATTAAACTAGAAAGTTAATTAAATTAAACATAAACAAATTTACAAGTAAACAGACAAGCATATAATCCTGAAAAAATATGAATTCTAGCCAACTATAAGACCTAAAAAAATATTACACCCCAAAATTGATTATTTCGTCGAATCTTTCATCCCAGCAAAAAACGAGAGATTTCCAAAAACGAAACGAGCTCTTTCCAAATCAACAATTTCCACATTTCGGGTTGGTAACAGCAGATAAGAAGAATCTGAGTGAAACGAAAGTTTGACGAGTTTATGAGTAGTGTCAGCTCCACTTTCCGCCAATGGAATCACATCATCGAGTGGGCGAATTTTATTCTTTCGCCGTCCCCAAAATGACACGTAACCTATTCGGCACCATTGATTTCCTTCGTCCACCGCTACCACACCCACCAACCGGTTCATCGTTCTGCTGAAAATCATCAAAGCTAACGGTGCAAACAGTGCCAAAAGAGTCGTGTTCATCAACCAGGTAGCATCGATCAGGCCTTGCGTATAGTTGTAGAATGAGTAGGGTAAATAGATGATACTGGCAACAGTTTGAACCAATTTTGCTCGAGCGACAAGAACCGCCAATGGCGCAAGGGGATAGCGATAAACGGCTACCCATTTGACATCAGAAACAAGCTTTTCCATTTCCTTATCGTCGAACGTTGGAGCGGCAGCTGTGGTTTTTGAGCGAAGCGCTATCGTTCGAATCCCTCGTCCACCCAATCGAGACAGCAACTCCTTTTTCTCGAATGGATTTTCCGCGCGTTGTGATGAAAGCCGAGCACTTCTTCTCGTGTAACCGTGCGTTGACGTAGAAGCGATAGCCGATGTCCGGGCTGCGATTTGTGTTGCGGGTCGCTTTGCTTTCACAATAGCTTGTCCGAGCAGAAGGCCAGCGGGAAGAAGCGTCATCACCTTATAATAACTAAAGATAGATTCTTGTAAAATCAAATAAAGACTTTTGACGAGTGATGAGGTAACGAATGGCAAACAATTCTGGTAGCAATTGTACACCCAAACAAGTCAATATTTATACGATCAACAACCTACAAAAATTAAGTACCCGAGAAAACAAAGTGACAAAACACTTCACCTTGAAATTAACTATGTATGAACGATAATGTAACAAGAACAAATGGAAACGAATCCCTCACATAAAGCTTGGATCCTGCATAAGGGTGTATAGTAAAACAACAAAACCACCTAATGGAATGAATAAGGCAAACCAATAAGAAACACAAAATATTAAAAGACTAAGACAAATTACACATAAAACACGACGTTTAGCAAGAAATTTTAAATTAAGTAGGGCCGGGCATTCTGGCATAGTCGATTGAAAATATGGAGCACATTGGTCCGGTCTAGGCATAGGTGGATCCAGCAAGAACCTTGCAAACGTTCCTGAATTACTTTATAAGAGCATCTACAATGAAAATAATACCTTTCCATGTTGGGTAGTCGTAAGACGTGGCTAAATCTCGTATACAGGATGAGCCAGAAAGGGTCATCGATAAGGAAGCCAGCATCTTGGACAGCCATTTGACTTCACCTTAAGAGTTTGAAAATGAAAAACGAACGTTTAAAAAACCTGAAAGGTTGAGAAGAATCGATGGCAGAGTCGACTGACAAGTGGCGAAATCGAATGAGCATTCACGACTAATAACCTTAAAAATTTTAGTCATCATATAAATCTTTGAGAAATATACCTGCCGACGTCCTTCTGGTGTAAGCGTCATAATTCCTGTATGAGGATCTCTTTGATGATCTGGTATTTTTGAGACTCGAGAACGAGGAGTCGTGTGAAGAAGCCTGTGCGATGAAGTTGACGTTTGAAGGGTCGACGGAGGAGTATCTAAACAACAACCATACAAATTAAAATAGAACGAACATACTTAAATAGCCAATTGGTGGTAAATGTAGATGTTCGACCGCTTCTTTCACGGCGTCATCAAGTTGCATCACCTCGTCCCTTAGCTTGAATAGCTCGTTATCCTCCTCACTGCCGACCATCTTTTTCCACCACGAATTATTCAAAGCCTAAAGTTGCTACCCAAATCTAAATTTCGTAAATATCCATTACCCGTTCCGTTACTTCATCGATATACGCTCTTTTTGTTTCGCGAAGACTGCGAACCGCATTAATTGTCTCGATCGTCTTTGCACAAGGATCCACGCCCAACATCCTAAACTCTCTATTTTTGCATGATAAATTTTTATACCTGAGAGCATCTACCATTGGTGGCTTCCAACTGCACTCAAACACGGACTTTAGCATCCGAACACTTTCTGATCCAGATCCCAATTCGCGTATTCTATCGACAAAGAAATAAAAATCAAGCCAAATTAACACTTACCTTCGAAAAATTTTACCAAGCAGAACGGTGTAATACTTTTCGTGATTTTGAACAAATTGTGTGAACGGTCCAATAGACATCTCATCGCCAATTGGTGCCACATAGCGCCATGGACGAACCCAAGTAAGCCAAATATCTTAAGAGCTTATTGTTAGTAAAAAAAACTCGAACTCACCAACAATATCTTTAAAGATAATCACGCTTTGGCATTCATTAAGAGTCTCTTGTAAGAATTGATAAAGCGCCGAAGCAAACATTGGTCGAACATGAACACGCAACTAAATAATACTAATACTTTGAAGAAAAATGACCGCTATCTCAAACCTTCACGGAGGCGACTTCTGGGTTGGCGTGAGAATTTAGGCAAAATATGTGAAATTGCTTACATAAGTGCCGCAAAAGAACCAATCTAAAAAGTTTATGGTAAAAATAAAACTGCGTTTGTGTACCTGTTAACGGAAGGAAATTGCGTTGTCGAGCAAAGTGTGATGATGAAGCGTGAGATAAAAGAGATGAATTTTGGGCGTAAAGTCACATCAGCCTCCTGCACTTGGGTAGATATGTCTAAAACTCTTCTCATTTTTCAATTCTCATTTTAGTTTTTTGAAGACTTACCAGTGCTTAACTTATTCAGAATTGGTGAATCAGGCAAAAACAGATTCAGCGGTGTGCAAATCCGATATGCCACTAATTGTGGGCGACACGAGTCATTTCGAAACTGTTCTGTGGATGCCTCGATTGGGAGTAGTCGTTTTATCCACTCTCCAGCGCATACCATTATAACTAAACGCCAATATTAAATAAACTTTCTACGTGAATTACCGGAATTGATCAAAGTTTGCGTCGCTTTGTCCAAATGTTCCTTCACCGCGTTCCAAAG